ATGAAGGACCCTACTCACCCAGCACACATACTTTTTGCCCTGCTCCCCTCAGGCAGGAGGAAGCGGAGGATTATGTGTAGAACCACTAGGCTGAGGAACAGCTTCTACCCTGAAGCTGTAAGACTCATGAATCTCTAATCAGAAAAATCACTGTAATGCCATTTTAATTGAACATTTTACACTTTATTTGTGCTGCTGATTATCCATGCTGCTGATGCCTTTAAGCTGCTGTATTCGTACCCATCTCCTCACAACAGACTCATGTTCAGGCTGCTGTTTAATACACCGCATTATATATTATGTTATTATTGTTTAGTGTACATCTTAGATCCTTGTATACGGTTTCTTTTTATACTTGGGTATTTGCTATTTTTAGGTGTAAGTGGGACCTTGAGTACACAATTTTGTTCCATCTCATGTACCACATGTGATGCAAATGACAATAATGAACCTTGAACTGGGTTGACTTCAAAAGTTAATCAGCTGTAAAAGTGCATCCAATCATTACTTTCTGGTATTTTCACTAAAATCTGTCCAGTGGTTCATGAGATATTTTGCTAACAAACAAAAAGGGTTGACTCTAACAGTTAACAGTAAGGTTTTGGACAAAGATCTATTACCACTCAGAGAATGTGTTGTGGGGGGACTCTGCTGCTCCATCACATTTAAGCTCATTATATGTAAAATGGAGAGACGTAGCCATTTTTATGTTTGCTAAGTTTCATCAGCTGGCTGTCTTGAATTGGTTTGACGTATCTGGTGAAAACTTTCTTAACATTTCGGTAAAATCCATCCCAGTGGTTCATGTAATATGTTGCTAGACAAACAAACACACTGGTTTTTGGTGGCAGGCAATAAAATATTCTGTCAGCCATAAAAACATGTTGACCCAGTCCGGATACCTGTCACGATAACAAATTTGCTGGGCAATTAATTGTCTCCAAAATTATTGTGATAAACGATAATATTGTTTGAAATTTGACAATAATTATTTAGTAATTGTTGTCAAATTTAAGAAGAAATGTTGGTTAATTTTTTTTATTTTTGGGCAGCACGGTGGCACAACTGGTAGAGCTGCTGCCTCTCAGTGAGAAGGTTGCCGGTTCAAATCCCGGTCCGGGGGCCATCCTGGGTGGAGTTTGCATCTTCTCTCCGTGCATGTGTGGGTTTTCTCTGGGTACTCCAGTTTCCTGCCACAGACCAAAAACATGCATGTTAGGCTGATTGGTAACTCTAAATTGCTGGGTTTGTTTCCTGGATTAGATTTCTTCATGTCCTGCTCCTCAGAAATGTCCTCAGATGGACATGGGCCTTCATCTAAACAATTTTACAACGTCAAGAAATAATAATCATAATCCGTGGCTGTTTAACTTCACCTATCAGATTCTTGTCATGCAATGTTTCCTAACAGCTGTCGCACTGTCAGGATGTCTGTGTGTAACAGAGAGAGTGATGGCAGCAGGAGCCCCCGCCAAGCTCATGGGACAGTTGGAGAGGAGCAGACGGTCGTGTCGTTTCCCTGGAAGCATCTGGTGAAACTCAAGTGTGTAATTTAGAACTACGGGTGGCCCTGAGCTGCACATAACACACACACACAGTGATGGGGTGTAATTTACCTGGGGCCTATGGGTGGCCTGGTATCCTGTTACACTTGTCGTACACGCAGACAGGCTCAAACACAGTTCACGCCGCCGACACAGACGGAGAGAGTGAAACTAATTTCTCCAGGCCCTGCAGACAAGAGTAAGAAATCACACAACACCAGGCGAGATGCGAAGAGGTGAAGACTTTACCCCCAATATATTCACCTGTGGGAGTTGCTTCACACCATGTCACATCCTCTCCGTTTCATCAACCTGGCTCCTTTTCAAAGCCCGAGCTCAGCCGCCCCCCCCCCCCCCCCCCAATCCCAAGAGAGAGACGGAGATGAAGGCTTTGGGAACGAAAGGGAGGAAGACTGATTAGGAGAGTGCATCCCTCCCTGCATTCCTGCACTGACCTTCTGAGTGGTGTGGCACTGTAGCTATCATCGGCCCACCATGTTTTACGCTTTGCCTTTATTGAGGGGGGACGGATTATTGTTGCTCCAAACCTGCATGCTCCACCCCCCCACCCCCAATTCCAACTGTGAATGAAGCATATCTGGTTTCACGCAAGGATGGACAGACAAGGTTGCCCCAGACATTTACAGTTGGCTGTTTGACATGTCTGGCTGCAGCGGAGGCTGATATGATAGCCTGTCTGCGAGATGACAAATGTGTGTGTGTTTGAGCGAGAGAGTGAGAGACAGAGTGAGAGACAGAGTGAGAGAGAATCAAGTTGTGTTTGATCCCTTTTCCCAGCTAAGGGGCTTTAACTTTACTCCAGGTGCAGAAAAGTCAACCTGAGGGCATGGGAGGCATGTATACAGATGAGAAAACAGGCCTAAAGCATGTGCACGGGCATGCACGTGCACACACACACACACACACACACACACAGCGGCATGGAGTTTCCTTTAAGCAGACTGAGTAACTTGTGGTTTAAACAGGTTTACCAGTCCAGTGGTGTTAACCGTGGAATGCCTCTGAAGACGCAGTAATGTGCTGTAGGATAAACAGTTCTGTTGCTGCCTCCACACGAAGACATCAATCAGTCCCGAGCCGAAATACAGAGAGTGAGAAATGAAAAGGTGAAAGGGCCAGCTGGTTCAGTGGGCAGGGTAATGACAATGTGCAGGGCAGCCACTTAGAGGCAGATGGAGTTAGTTTTCTTTGCTGCAGGTCAGGTCCAACTGAGCAGGGAGTAAATTACTTCCACCACTGCATGAGCAAAAACTTTTCTTTATGCAACATAAATAGAAGATTCTTCACCTAAATGTATCACTCACCATTACAGTTACTGGTAAAAGCCTTTTTCTTTATGCCTCTGAACGCAGCGCCAACATTATCCCTCTGCATCGCCACACAGGGAATCTGTGTGGTCCGTAATGAGCCCAGCAAACATCTGCTCCTCCCGTATTAGAGACCATTTTCTTCACGTCTCATCCTGTAATATGGAGAAATTAGAGTGCAGGGAGTCCTCCTGTGTGTTTACACACACACACACACACACACATTCACAGACATAACATAAGGAGTCCAAGTGTTTTTATACTGCTCAACTGACGCTCTAACATACCAAGTCAACACCGCAATTTTCCATCCACAACAGTAAAACACTACCGGGTGTCTTTGGTCGGTGCTCCCAGACTTTTTCCCCTCTAGCTGAAAAACAAGATGTTTTGCAAAATGAGTTTGTTAAATATATAAAAGCATCAGAATGTTTTTTTTGTTTTGGCTCAAGAAATTGAAGCAGAAACAGTATTTTTTGGGCCTGTCACCATTTGTTTAAATAATTCATGATTATTTATTTTAGCTTGGAAAGACTTTTCCTTCAAAAAGGAGCACGAGTTCAAGAAGAGGAGCAGCACCACCTTGTGTTGCAACTCTGACCCAAACTTTCACAAACTTTTTTTTTTTTTCATCCTGCTTGACCTGAAAATTCAATTTTTATTTCTACTGCACCAACAGAAGTTGTCTCGTACAAAAATATGCACATGCATAAAAAGCCTTTTAGTAAAGTTCTCTATCTAAGGAAGCCAGCAGACGCTTTGAATCTTCACTTTGTCGCGTTCTCCCATCCTGAGCAAGCACAAAGGAAACAGTGGAAAGGAAAAACTCCCTTTTAAACAGGAGGAAAGCTCCAGCAGAACCAGGCTCAGGACGAGCGGCCATCTGCTTCAACTGGAAAATCAGTTTCTACTCCCAAAATGCACCTGTATGGTAAGAAGGGAGAGTTTTTCACATAATTTATAGGTAGAAATGCACAAATCTAACATTTGCTGTACTCTTTTTAGGATATGTGACATAAAAGTGGCAGATTATTTCAAATCTCTTATTGAAATAAACATCAGATTTATCATGAAAATTAATTGCGCACATGAAAAAGAGCTTAAAGTGTTCGTTTGTTACTAAACAATAATGCAGTCATACTTGGTGTTAATTATTTTGTTAAATTCCAGTTAATGTTTTCTTCTCTGCTTGTTTGCAACCAAGAAGTCTGGAGAAAGAGCAGAGAAGAACTGAAACTGTATAAACAGAAAAATAAGAAAAGGTTGAAGAATATGTATTGCTAAAAAAGAATATAGCCGTTCCAGAACCCCCGCAATAAATGAAAATCTGCGAAGTAGGGACGTTATATTTTAGTATTTATATATTTTAAGGCTTTAGAAATCCTTCCCACACTCTTGCAATGTTGTAAACTCTTAAAAACTTAACGTCGTTTTCACAACATACGTATATGTAGCTACTAAATTTTACTCACCAGCTCTGCAGAACAACAGCGGCTCGATTCTGTTTCGGTGGACCTACGCTGCCGGTTCTGGTCGTCTCTCTGGCTCAGGGCTCCAGAGAGACCAGACCTATGGCGGCGCGTCCCTGCTCTGATGTCCTTGTGAGCCGGCTACCACCTCTCGAGTTCACCGATGGGTCCGGAGGTTCTGTTTCGCTCTGGTTCTGGTCCGGTTCCGTGCAGCTCTCTGAATCCGCTGGACGCCAAAGTCACTGTGAATGACTGAACTTTTTTCTGATTAGACCAAAACTTTTCCTCTAGTATTTCAGCAGAAGGCAACGGGGCTTCTGAGTGGGGCATTGTTGGCTTCTGGGAAATGTAGTCCTTATGAGCGGCAATACTATACAAGCTAATTGAAAGAGAACTACAAAATGGCGGCGCCCGTCCAAAGTATTTTATTTTTTCGTTAAACTTTTTTTCTGTACTGACCCAATCACGTAATATTGAAGGTGAGCGTCGTAAGTGTACAATTTTTTTCCCTCGTGCGAAAAACCGCGAAAGAGCAAGTCAGCAAAAGTCAAACCGTCAAGTAGCAAGGGACTACTGTATAAGGAATGAAAGTGTAGACCGTTTGTTATATTTGATATTGAAGACATTTTATTAATGACGGTAACAAATGTCAGAGGCAACATCAGTGACTGAAAAAGCTCCCAGCAAACTGATCACAGAGACAAGAAGGTTATGGACAAAAGAAACATCCACTCTGCTTCGTACTGCGGCTGCAGTCAACCACTGCGCTTTAACATGTCTGCTGTCACACATCCACACAAAATGTTCCAGACGTTCCTCCGTTAACATTTAAGTCTGTCATGAAGGAGCTCTTCACTTGCTCATCTCCTCCTGGACTTCCTTGTGGATGTCCTCCTCCAGTTGGGTCGTGTCGTACTCCTTCAGCATGTCGTACTCGAGCCAAGGCTGCGCTAACTTTTCAACTTTCTCCTTCTGTCTAGGCGTCAGGTTGAAGTGGGCGCCCTGAATGTTGAACTTGGTCCATTCCCAGTTTTTGGACCATGGCTTGGGGCGCATTAGGACTTTACACTGGTAAACAGACAGTTTTTAAAGGTGCGTTTTACTACTGAGTGTTTATATATGAAAACAAACATCACTTATTGGCACCACAACAAATTAAAATATTTTTAATGACAGCAGTCACAACCATATGCATGCTTCACTACAAGAAAACAAAAAAAAAAAACAAGACCTTTAATAATTAAAAGAAATATAAATATCTGCAATAAATGTAGCTACATTTGGCAGCACCTTGAACGTCTCACCTTGTTCACAGGCACCTCTCCAGAAAGGGAGATGGGCACAGGCTTCATTTCTGGGTCCACGGTGCTGTACTCAGGCAGAGCATCTCTTAGATACATCAGATTGTCATCCAGCCTTTTCTCCAGCTTCAGCACTTCAATATTCTGTACGTGAGGGTTGTACAGCTCAAAGCAGATCTCCACACCTAACGCACACACACAAATAAGTTCATATATCTTATTAGGACATTGTACTGACTTCCATTCATTACCATTACCTAACCCCAACTTAAACTCTATTCACACCTGAGCCTGTAACTCATAAATGATCTTCCATTATAATATAACCATGCTTTGGTCCTCATAAAAACATCCAGTCCTCACAAGGTGAGTGATTGCTGTATTTTTCGCCATATAAATCACAGTTTTTGCATAATTTACGTGCCCTGCGACTTACACTTACAAGTTCAACTGAGACACACCTTTGCTATAATTTCAAGCAAACAAATAATTGTTTTTAAGTGTTAATCTTGTTAAATTCTTGTTGAAATCCTCCCATGCACACTCCCATGGCTGCCATTTGGCAGCCAATTGATTTTTGGTACAACACCGGCCCACATTTCTGGGTTGTCAGCGGTGACGCATAATAGATGCGACATATACGGCAAAGCGACATAATTATGGATTTCTCCACTTTATTAGACACATTTGGACTGATGCGACTTATAGCGCGGTGCGACGTGTACAGCGGAAAATACGGTACAATCAGAAAAGGTCTTAAATTGGTAACATACACTAAGTGCACACATGCATGAACACACACACGTTTTACTTTACACTCACTCAGCTCACTTCTTGCAATAGAGACGGTAAAGCTAATGTCATATTTTAAAAATGTACGTTAGCAACGTTAACAAATATATATATTTAAAAAAAATCCTATTATCAGAAATGTCTTTATGGATGGATCCAACCCAGTTTAGACAGTTTTAGCATCAGGGTGCAGACAGACTGCAAACAGTGGGTAGTTTTAAATAAAGAATGGAGGGGAAACACTGTAATGCAGCGGGTAATGGCAGCAAGAATTAAAAATAAATCTTAATAAATTAACCTTTTGAAATAGAGCAAGAACTAAGCCTCAAACAACATCATGGTGCTTATGTTCCAGAGACCCCTGCAATAGGTGAAAATCCACAATGTAGCTTTGTTGTATTTATTTTATTCATATAAATATATATATATATATTATTTATTAAGGCTTTATAAACCCTTCCTACACTCCTACAAACCTTTCCCACTCACGTTTACCAGTAGCGCGCAGCACTGAAAACTTTCGACCACGCCCACCTGCGGTGTGGGTCCCACCCCAGTCTATAAATTGCACTGAGACCAGGAACAGACTCCCCAACAGTGTTTTCCTTCAGTCATTTAGGAGCCAGTGAGGCCCTGATCTTAAAGGACTGTGCCTGTACTCATAGAATCTGGGGTTACAGTGCATACTCAACGTTTTATTTCATATAGGCGTTTATTCCTTTAAGGCTATTGCTAGCAGGTTAAAGGTGAAGCAGGATGTAGTCTATTTCTCACCGAGTCCGTTCAGCACCACAGTCACACAGATAACTGCTTACACTCTTTGAAACAATCCATATTGAGCCTTCGAATCACACGCCACTGAATCTGTGCGCCTGAGACGGGCTGAGCAGCAGAGAGAGAAATAATCGGCGTCAGACTGAAAGCTGAAATGTCAAACGCTGCTGCTGTGAGAACAGGCAGGATGGAGAGCTCACGAAAACATCTGCAGCATCACTATAACAAAACTCTGAGGACGGAGTGAGTCAGGGAGAAGCTGGAGACGTCGCGCAGATAAAAATGAATGAATGCGCACGGAGAAGTCCAGGAAGCTGCTGTGCAGATGTCCTGCACTGACACTCCTCTGTGCAGATCCGTGGAGGACGAGATTCCTCTGGTGGAGTGAGCGCTGAGCTCCTCTGGAGTGGAGTTGCATTCGGACCTAAAGAATCCGACCCAGCCCGAGCCCGATACGACCAAATAATTCTAAGTAGAGGCCTGAACCGGAAGCGCAGACATAGTTTAATTAAGCTTTTACTGCTTTTGTAAGTAAACCAGTTTTGACATGATAGTTTTAAAAACGCATTTCAAAGAAAGGAAGATATAAGATTTATTGTTTATTAATGAGTCACCAAATGGATATCTTACATTAATGTACAAAACGAATAGCCTAAAAATAAAAACTCTAACACTAGGCTATTATACAGATGAACAAAACACATTTTAGAGCAAAATTATTTGGAAAAAATATAGAACAAGGCTATTTTAATTTAAACCTAAAAGAGAGTCGTGCAAAATGAACCGGAGTCACACTGTTGCTGATGATAACCCACACCCAATCAAAGCAGGGTGGGCGGGGCCACATGCACAATTAGCTGTGCAATGCGCCCGCGCTACTCTCTCTTTTCACAGTCTGATTAACTATTTCCTTTCTTCCCTCATCCTCTACATATAAACTTACTGCCTCCTCCTCAACAAGCAGATTAACACAAATTTATATTGTACATTCTTATTTAGTTTTCTTTGGGCTGTGAGTCGTAAAACTGCACCACAGAAGCCCGAGCTCGACCCGGCCCGCCCATCAAGCACATCATTTTGGGTCATAAATCATAACTCTGCTCAGGGACTGATATCCAGAGAAAATATACGGCTGCTGAGCCGACAGAGCAAGTCCTTGAGACTGATCTCTGACGTGCAAAAACAGACGCTAAGAGCGGCGTGATACGGCCATGCGTGCGATGCAGCGGAGCACGTGCACAGGGCAGAGGAGATGAGAGGTGGCTTCCTCCTCCACTTGCGCAAGCGGTATCAGTGGCATAGAGTATGTACCGCAAAATCTCGCAATACAGAATTAGATATATATTTTTAAAAACCCACGATACAGTGAAGCCGCAAAAAATGAACTGTGATATAGCGAGGGACAACTGTATATATGTTTTGATTTACTAAAATCTTTTCCCCTTGCAGTTTGTGCTTTAATACACTGAATGTTGCTATTTTAGCCGTCAAGTGTTAGAAAACAAATCTTACCTTGACCATTCAAGATGTTTCTCAGGATGAACGTGGCCCCCAGTCCTTTCCCACCCCTCTGGATACAGATGCCAACAAAGCGATTTTTTTTCCCACTAGCGTTGCGATCAGCCATCGTCACTGCAAGGATACTTCCTGAAAAACATTTTTTGTTTTTAAATGAGAAAATGATCAACGCTGGCACAGATAACTAAATTAATTCAAACGATGAGTCAAGACGCATCTGTCAATAACTGAGTAATTCTGTCAAAATTATGAGATCATCATTATTTTTCGAGAATATCCCGATCAGTTTGTCATAATTTGAATAAAGGTTTTTATGGCACGCCCATGTTTTTTCCAGTGTCGTCATCTTGTTGCATTTCAGTCTTCTGCTGGTGACAAACTGAGTCCTGCATCAGACATGATGTACTTCAATAAAACTTCAAAACAGATCCTAATCTACACAAACATTGTTTTTAATATGCCTAAAAAAATGTAATATTAGACTTAAACAATACTGATGGGATACAAATGAAAAGACACCGTTAATAAAACTGCACATTGCAATAATCTGCGTGTCAATCGTTTATTGATCACAACTGAGCAACACATTTAACTGCCATAAATATTATTTATGTTATTATGTGATATGTTTTGTTTACATGTGTGGTTTACATTATTCATTTATTTTGAATATTGATTTGTTTGTAAGTTAAACCATGTAGGAACCATTTTTCAGTGCTACGTTGCACTGGGGACACTTTAATTTGTTACAACCCTCCTCCAAGAGGGCGTGTACAGGAGGAAAAGTTTGATGCCTCCTTGCCTAAAGCTCTAAGAAGCTACACTGACTTTTTTTGGTTGAAGATTTACTTTTGTTCCAGCTGACTCGTTCCCTCTTTGGTTTATGTGCAGCCAGCGAGGTATGCTTATTTGTGTTATGTTTCATTGTACATATTTATAGTAAATTTGTGTGCAATATATGAATATTGTGTGTTTTGAGCAGTTCCAACGGTGGATTTGATGACCATAAGTGCCGTTCAGATGAATAAATCCATCAGTAACAGAAGAACGATGGTGTTTATTTCCTAGAGGGAGTGAGAACACCAATCACATAACTCTTGTGACAGTAATTATTATTTTGCTGTTGTTGTTGTTCAACCATTTGGATGCTTTTTTGTTTAATTTACCGCAAAATGTTTTCAAGAATTAAAAACAAAATATTTTACTTTAAACAGAACATGGGCTTTACCGCCTTAATATGCACAGGAGATTAAATTTACTTTTATTAATTATATAATGATTTTTCTTTTTCCCTAATAAATTTAGTGTTTTGGGACAAATGACCCTGTTTGTCAAAAAGGACTTTTGCATAATGTTGACAAGGCAAAAGACAACATTATTCATGCAGAATACATAAAGTTATTTGGGTAATTCCCTCCAGTAGATGCTGTAGGAACACACTAACCTTAATCTAATTGAGCATGCATCAGGACACTAATCTTAGTTTCTTACCCACGTAGAATTCAGGGATGTTGAGGACTTTCCTCCTGCGGATCATGTCTTTCCTCTCCATATAAAACTTAAAAGGATCTGTCCTCTGTCTGGGTGGAATGAACTCTGGGCTTAGAAACCTGGAAGAAATCAGCCAGAGGTACTTTAAACACAACTTGCACAGCAACACACGTGCAGCGATTCTGTACAAAATAAAATAAAAATTCGTACTTTCGCTGAGACTCCGCAGTTTGCGTCTTATCTAAAATGACGGGTTTGGATGGAGGGACAAATTTTGGAGGCTCACTGTCCCCGTGAAGACGCACAGACGTCGACAAGAACCCTGAAAACACAACCGTTTTATTCTCAGTTGACCAAATTAAAACAGCTAGCTAAAGCGCTAGCTTCTTTTGCACATGTAACGGACGTTAATTGCAACTAAGACACGTTCACGCTCAGTTAGTTAATTATAATATATTACAGACCCTTAAAACACATTTAACACACTTACGTTCATTCTGGAACATAAAACTTCGACATAACCTAAGCGAAAGGTTAAACTTTTCGAAACCCTTAACGCAAGCCGCCATGATTGACCTTCTGTTATCACATTGTATGGAAGCTGAGACGGCCAAAAAGTCTTTAACGCGCAATTTCGCCGAGCTGTAGTGTCGTATTTTATCCACCAGGTGGTGCCAGCGATCCGTCCGCTTTAAATTCATGTTCAAAAACAAAACAAGGATTCTTTTAAAAATACATACATTGAATCATGTGAGTACCGACTTAACATAAACGGTAGAATAGTATTGTAATTTAGCTCATTGTGCACATTACTATTTACTGAATATGTTTACAAACATCGACAAGATGACATCACCTTGTTTTCCATGCAAATGCAGATTGTAAACCACAAGCTGCAAATTATTTCTAGTAACGTTTATATTTGGCACAGTGTTGCGCCAAAGTAACCGTGCCCGAAAGAATTTGTGCCAGGAACCAGGAAGAGCGAACCTAATTGACGCGTCAATTTGTGCGCGCTCCCGAGACAGTGGCGCGCCGCTCCTGCTTCCTGCAGGTGGACTGCCTCCTCCTGAACACGCAGCTGGGAACGCGCTCTGCGCTCGTCTCCAAACTCCCAGGAAAGAGCTCGGTGCCAGCAGCTGCTCGGTGGGAGGATGAAGGGAGGCTAGAAACATGGGCTCGCGCATCTCCTGAACCTGGACCTCGCTGCTCGGACTTTTCTCGTGATTCGGAGAGAGGGATTACAAACTCCGAGGCTTCAATGATGTTCTTCTCAGATGGGACTTTCTCAGCCGTCAGTTTTGCGCTCCTGCTGGGAATAACGCGTCTGATCCACCTCTGCGCTCTCTCCGAAGGCTCCTCACACTTTTCAGGTCGGAAACTTGTGCTTTGATGAAAAAGTTGTCACTTTCTTTTGACTTTTAATATAAAACCAAACACCTCATTATTTACACATTCCATGTGAAACCTGAAATCTCAGACCCCAGCACTGATTAATATGACGCAGCCAATTGGAGCCTTTGTTCATCCTGCTGAGATTGTCTTGAGTCTCATCACGGCCCGTGTCTGTGGCGTGCTGCAGCATGCGCACCCAAATGTTTGGAAACCAACCGGGACACATCCTAAACACGCGGAAAGGACCCATATCGTGCTTATCTTATGCCCGTTACTGCGACTGTTTCTAAATAATAACCCAAACAGGCTCTGCTTCCCTAAAGGTCAGAACACGGAGGGGGGGGGGGGGGGGGGAAGGTAGTTTTTCCAGCACATCATTATAAACCTGCAGCAATCCGATGATGCAAATTGTGGGGTGCCGTTTGTAAAGTTACACAATCAAAAATTAATAGCAATATTTTTGTTTTATTTAGCCTTTAATAAGAAAAACAAAGTTGTTTTCTTCCCAAAGTCATATTTTCACCATGTTGTTCATACATTTATAAATGCCATAGTTCCACAATACATATTTAGTTTACAAACTAAATATTTAACTTGCAAGTTAAATATTTAGTTTGGCAAACTAAATATTTAGGTGTAAATTAAATATTTAATTTCAAAGCTATATAATTTATTTTCAAAACTATTTATTTTCCAAAATAAATCTTTAATTTCTAATCTAAACATTTTAACTCCTGTACTAAATATTTAGTTTGCTAACTGAATATTTAGCTTCAACATAAATGTTTATTTTCCAAGCTAAACATTTAATTTCCAAAATGAATATTACATTTGCTAACTAAAAATTTAGCTCGGACCTGAAAATTTGACTTGTAAGTTAAGTATTTAGGTCTGATTTATCTTGTAAGTTAAATATTTAGCTAGTAAGTTAAATATTTAGGTCTGAGCTAAATATTTAGTTAGCAAATTAAATATTTATTTTGGAAATTAAATCTTTAGCTAGGAAAATATATATTTATGTCCAAGCTAAATTTGCTAATGAAATATTTAGTTTAGGAATTAAATGTTTAGCTTAGAAACTAAATGTTTAGTTTTGAAAATAAATATTTAGCTCAAAAATTAAATATCTAATTTACATCTAACTATTTATTTCACGAACTAAATACTTCACTTGCAAGTTAAATATTTAGTTTGTAAATTAAATATTAGGTTTGGACATAAATATTTAGTGTGGAACTAAATATTTACCTTGCTAACTAAATATTTAACTTGCAAGTCAAGTGTTTAGTTTGTAAACTAAATATTTAGCTTATAAATTAAATATTTAGTTTGGAACTATGACATTGATAAATGTATAAATAACATGGTGAAAATCTGACTTTGAAAAAAAAAAACTTTTTTTTCTAATGAAAGTCTAAATAAACCAAAATATTGCTGTTAATTTTTGACTGTGTAACTTTACAAACGGCACCCCATAGGAAAATGAGATCATTTGAATTATGCAATTAATTAGAGTTGCTTGCTGAGAACTGTTTTATAAATGCTGCACAACTCAAAGTCCAACAAGCTGCATATGCTTAATTAGTGGTCACATCAGGTAACAGGCACTGATTTTATGTCTGCTGTACTAAACTAGTGTGTTGTATTAGTGAGCCCAAGGCCAGCCTGCAGGTTTTGTTTACAGTGCTGTAAAACAGAAAAGCAGCTCTGTGTCAATGTTAATTGGCCTCTAATGGGTCTAATGGTTAGAAACTGCAGAATAACACCACAGAGAGAGGTGCTAAATGTGTGTAACATGCCCGCCCCTTGTGTATGATTCTGTGTGCATGAGCTGATAAAGAGCACTGTCTGATGAAGGCTTGTTCATAGTTTGTGTGAGCGGCTGTTTTTTATCACAAATACTAGGATTTTAGGGTGATTAGATTAGCGCAGCAAAATCCAGCTGATCCTGGATTTCTGCTGACATGGACAAAGTTTACACAAGATGATGTTAAAGTCTGGAAGTTAAAGGCACCCACTGCAATGTCAGGAAAACCCATCAAATGTACGTGAGCAGAACTACCACATACATCTTTGTTGTTGACTTACAGATAGGCCTGTCACAATAAACAATAAATCAATTAATCACATAAATGAAAATTATCGACCTCGTTGCCATTTATCGGCTTTATCGTTTCTTCGTGTCTCTTTCTACTGAAGACACTGGATGACAAAAGGCTCAACTCCGGTGCTCTTCACTGACCCCTACCTTTCTCTTCAAAATCCATTTTAACCATCCAAAATCACGTTTTTGATTCGTTAAAAGCAGCTAAACTGAGAAGCTAAGCTACGAGCTAAGCTAACAGGCTGACCTCGGGGAAAATACCTCCGTCTTGCCGAAGCTCCAAAATACACGGTCGAAACCCGTGCCTTCATGTAAAAAGTTGTTTTTTCTCTGCAAACTGAAGTTGAGAACTTGTTTACTGATTTTTTTTTATTTATTAAAAGCTTTGTGTGACAAATGCTATGCTAAAGAGCTCAAACCACACAAAGCGTCCGCCATTTTGAGAACGAAAAAAAAAAAGGAGAGACAGCCCATGTCACGTCAAGGGGCCTCCCTCCCATTTTTCTTAAAGTGACACGCTGCTCGCTCCCTCACCATCTATCCATCCTTCTGTTCAAACAATCTTAAACTGCCATCGCTTGATCAAAAAATGAACAACACTCAAATTAACCAACATTTCTTCTTAAATTTGACAATAATTACCAATTATTGTCAAATTTCAAACAATATCATCGTTTATCGCAATAATTTCTGAGACAATTAATCGCCCAGCAAAAGTTGTTATCGTGACAGGCTTACTTCCAGAAACAAAGTGACAAAAAAATGGAAACAGTCATGGAAGAGGTGTTTGGGAGTGAGTTAAAAATAACATTTGTACACTCACCCGTCTAACAGAAGTTTCACAAAAGCGCTTGAATGCTGAGTTTCATTTTTAGGGGGTGGCTTTACAGCTTTGCTTGATTTCCGATATTATTAACTTTTGTTTTTCTTGTTATTTCTCTTTTCTTTAGCGAGCAGATTCATTCTTATTACACCCAAACATCTTTTCTGAGACTCTACACTTGTCTATTTTCACCATATTTGTTGACCTTCACAAACTAAAACCAGTTCAGTTTGATATTGGATTTCATAGTTTGCAGCTTAATTTGTTTAGTTTGTTTGCATGCGTTTTTAAAGATGCTGACCAAGCATCCTGATGAATGAATTAACAAAGAGGGTGCTACAGAATACCTCGGGGACAAAGACATTCTCAGTCCTCACATTCTTGACCACTTGGAGTCTCCCAGGAGACCGCAAGGAACTTTCTGGTTGACAAGTGGTGTCAGCCTTTGAGGTGACAGAAGTCGTAGATTTAGACTTATCATCTGTCAATCAAACTCTAATTTTGATTATCAGTGATAAACTACATCTAGCAGGAAAGGCTGCTTCATTTTCATTACAGTTGTTTGAAATCGCATTTTACGTCAGTGTGCACATGGAAATATCAGTTTCATCAAGATCCCTGCTGAAATGCAAGAACCTACAGCGTGTTGGTGGGTAATTTAGCTCTTACTCTGCCCCTTTATCATCTTCTATTACAGTACACAGCCGCCTGCAGACATAATTAGAAGTGTAGAGGGATCGCTGCAACATTTAGTCCCTGCGTTTACAGCATCTCTGTCAAAACTCCACCTTATTGATGCTTCCTTGATTCAAATTTCAGAGCTTAATTTGCTCAAAGTTGTGCACTACCCAGCTAACGACCTCTTGGTATGAAACAACGTAGCACCTTCTACATAGTTTTTATTCTTCCTCCAGTTGAATGCCGTTATGAGCACAGACGTTGCAGGTTTTCCCCCAGCGAAGGCGTTGGGAAAGTGGTTGAAAAATGACCAGACGATACCAGGAACATGGTTTTACTACAAATTCTTTTCCCGACTGTGTCATTTTACATGCAAGCAAACGCAACTCTGTCACGGTTCTTTGTTTCTTTATGCAGCCAAATGTTTTAGAACCACTTCATTGTCCATTCGATCTTACCAGACTAACCACAGTGTTGCCAAAGGGTTACAGTGAGGCCACCTTCGTTCTGTTTCTCTGTCATAAAACCCTGCAGGCAGAAGCCTTTTTAATCCCCGTCAATGGGATGAGAGGCTGTTGAGGGGCCAAGGGGTCAGCTGAGGTCAGGCCATAGTAACTACGAATGTGTGGTTAAAGGGAGTTATCATCCATCTTGCTCTTTGTTCCCTGCTGTCGACCCTCGTCCCACATGTTTATCACAGATGATAGAGGAAAAGTCAACACGACTCCATTCATGAATTTAATTTGGTTGAAAATCAAGTCAATGGGTCCAGATAGGTTTATTTTTGTATGTTATCTTTTGCTGCCTTCATGGATTGGGGTTGATTTACAGATTTGGAAACAACGGAACAAATTCTTTAATATCAAGACACGGGTTTCCAGAACCATCCGCAGCGTTCAGAGTTCTATTAGTCAAACATGTTACAACTTTAATCAAAATGTCCATACTATAATACAACCACTCAACGAGTATCTCAATGGGCCGAGACAGCTAGAGACTAGTTGGTGAGTCAAAATCGTAGAAAAAAAATTGGTGAATTTTCAGTGAACGAATTTGCAGACTCATTTAATTTTAAGTGTTTGCAAACAGCATGCTGTGTGTGTGTTTGTGTTTTGGGCAGGCAATTTTTGGAAGTTGCTACCTATTTTGTGTGCAGGGCTTCTAACCTAAACTTCTGGAATAAAGACGATATTATGACCAGTTTTGAGTCATTATCAATCATTACTGGCGTGGGTCAACCCACAGGCTTTAAACGTTGGTGTTTTAAGGTGGTGCAGGTGCCAAAATACAGCTCTAGATTTTCAGAAACTAAGCTGCGACAGGTTTGAGATACCTGCAAGAACGTTGACTGTTTTGAGAGAACGTTTGTTGAA